GACTTCGGATAGTTTCCCTAAATCTGCCGTTTCTATGCTTCGTGTCGTTAGACTGCATTTGCACAGCGACGTGTTCGCACAGCGACGCACACCGCTCGAGTAGATGATTCGGTCCCGCAAACGACCGGTTATACAGAATTTCAGGGAAACTTAAGTCACCACCGATGTTTTCCTGTAAATCTCGTGTGACTCGTGTGAGTTTGTTGCGCTCATCATGCGGTGTGAATAAACTAGGGCAATATTTTCCACCTGCCCACAGATGCATGAACTGAGACCAATTTTTTTACGTAGAGAACATAGTGGTTTTTCTTTACATTGGGAAGAGGCCCGAATTTGTCTCTTTTCCCTCTGGCCCTGCCCCAAGTTTCAAGTTGCAGTTTCAGTAGACATACCTACTAACAGGTACAAACTGCTCTAAAGCAGGTAAAAGACTAGGAAGTCAGGACGGTGCGGGCACCGTGTTTTGCGCTTCTCGCAAGGTGACTGATGCTTTTGCGAGGTATGCGGAATATGCAAACGATTTTGTTATGCCCTTCGTTTGCGTCTCCAGAAAAAAGAATAATATTATTTACAAATTTAGGCGCAATCACAAGCCAAGATTTACGATAACAGTGCGTTCGCTTCGGTGGTCCGTGTAGTGGTATTATACGCTGCTTTCTGCAACACCGCGTCATGACGAAGAGCTGGAACGGTCACGGTCTGTGCTGGGCTAGCGGTTGACAGAAACCCGCATCGCCCGCATCGGCACCGAGTGCACTTGGGCGGTTGATGCTCGAGCCTTTCATACGCGGCTTGTCGCCAGCTGATCCTGCTGCTCGACGGTGAGGAAGCGGCGAGTGTGACCTCTGAAGTAAATGTAAATCCTCGTTCATCCAGTTATCCAGTGTCAAAGTGTGGAAGATGTCCAACGTGTACTGAGGGCGGGAACTACGAGCGTTTTGCCTTGCTTTTATAACCGAAACCAGAGCAGCGAGATAATTGCCTTGCGTACTCCAAAATGACGCAAGCAATAAGTTTAACAGGTCGAGTACGTCACCGCGGATGTAGGCGAGACTGTGCACTGTTTAAACGCTTGCAGTATCCACGAGTGCTACCAGAAAAACGACGTCAACAGAAAAGGAGCTCGCGATTTTAGCATAATGCAGTGCCACTGGCTCGTGATTTTTCAATGTGGCTAGATAAAAATATTAAAAAAAAAACAAAAAAAAAACGCATCAGCGCCACATTAATGATCACGAAAAACACCGGTCACAAACTCCCAAGCCTCACCGCTTCGCTCGACACCAACACGACATACGACAACAATCTACATCAAAACGCCCCCAAAGTGAAGGCGTCTGCTCCCGTACGCGTACTACAACTAGCGGAAGTGAAGTGTTGGGCGGATGTCCTTCACAATAATATATATAAAAATGCCTTGCGCAAGTATAATTTCCATTGATTATTAAATACGTACTGATAAAATCCCAATCATTTGTTTTTCTATCTGATTCAAGCGAGTCGGACTGCTCATAACACTGGTCGAGCAGGAAAATAACAAAAATTTGAACTTTTTCATGGCCGGTTTAAGATTTATTGTTAGTACATCGTTGTTTTTCGCAAAGGACTAATTTTACAGATTTTGCCTCCATACTTTTTAAATGCACACAGTTCTTACATACGGCTGTCCATTGTGCCGTGTTTTGTGTCTTCTTCTATAAATCGGTAACGGTCAGCGACCAAAGAGCTCACCGGTACATGTCAAGCATATATACGCCGCGGGGCGAGTCCGTTGTTAGTAGGAAGTGTCGGGCGTAGTGTCGGTGTTGTGTTTGTGTATGTGTCGCTGCTGTGTCCTACGTGGTGCTCGTGTTGTCTGTGATGTATGTAGAGTAGCAGTCTACTTGTGATAGTTCCCAGCGTATTAACCGACTCCTGCTTTTTTTTTTTCATTGGTTGCTAGAAATCGCACTAGGTGGCGCAAGTTACCGCCCGATTACAAGAGTTTGCGTGAGCTATTTATCCATGTAAGTTCAATATTCGTTTTTTTTTTGTTTTTGTTTTTGTCTAGCGGTTTTGTCGTATCTGCCGACGCCACCGACCGCCGACGACCCACGTAGGTACCTTTGCACGTAGGTACGTCCGCCGCTCGGAGACTGTTTACTGTGCATAAAAGACATCGAACGAGAACGAACGCGTCCTGTATGCTTTCAGTTCGGCTGAAAGGCGCGGCTGGCTGGGCTCGTCCCTCGCCTGTTCTCGGCTGCTGGCCGCCATGTTTCGTAAGGAACACGTTGAACCGTGCTTCTCGGAAGGCAAACACGGTGTAGCGTGTTAACTTTACACAGCACCTCATGTGTAGACGAAAAACACAGATGGCTCCGTGTAAAACGAACACGTTTCGACGTGTCCGGTATGGGACAACGGTTTACACATCTGGGCGTGTTATTTTTGCTAACAGTGTAGTTTAGTGGTAAGATATCTGTCTCATAAGCAAGCGATCCCGGGTTCGATCCCCGGTGCGTGCTTACTTTTTTTTTTTAACATTTTATTTTGCCGACGCATTTGCCGATATTGACATTTTTTTTTTTTTTACGATTAAAGGGGTTATGGCGTGAAAATTAAACGGATAGATTATTCTTGAAATGGAATGCTCATAGGCTACTTAGTATATACACGAAGTGACGCGATTTTTAGAGCTCTGGTAATAGCAATATTCAATTTACGAATTTTTATCATTTTCATCTGGCGACCAGGCAGCACTGCCCAAGTTAGTCACACCATGGGGTCCATAAACCAGGTGACCATGAACACTCTCTCATTCTAGGCGCCCCCATAATTGCTCAAGCCCTCCTCGTCGCGGTACTGGCGGTACAATCAAAACCGCTCCCACAACTCAGTAACCCGAAAGCTATTCTCGCTCTCACCCCCGGCCCGTTGACCTTCCACCCTGCATGCGCCTGCGAGATATTCCCGGACGACGGTGACCACGGCGAGTTCAGCCGTTAAAGGGCTACTCCACCGATTTTTTCATTGTCTCCGATTTGCTTGAAATTTTGCTAAACTAACCAACAAACATCGCGAAAATAGTATCCCAAATATTAGGTCAAAATATTGTTTTTTCGCGAAGTTATTGAATTTACAGTTTTGGTCCTCACCGTGTTTTCCAAGCTCGAAGTCTCTACTGGCAACAATGAAAAAGTGACGTCAGTGGAAGGCAGGGGTTCACTCTTTGGGCTGTAGATTTTGGTTTAAACTGATCCGAAGCAGTTTCATGGTGTCAAATCAATGCTTGGGAAGCTCGCTGCAGTACCCGCGCTCCAGCACGGAACAAATGATTGGCATATTCTATTTTTTGGCTGCTTGCTCGACTGGCAAGCCTGCCTGCCACTGACGTCACGGCCCTGAAAATTGCTCAAGCCCTCCTCGTCGCGGTACTGGCGGTACAATCAAAACCGCTCACACAACTCAGTAACCCGAAAGCTATTCTCGCTCTCACCCCCGGCCCGTTGACCTTCCACCCTGCATGCGCCTGCGAGATATTCCCGGACGACGGTGACCACGGCGAGTTCATCCGTTAAGGCCCGTTCACACTCTTGCGGCCGAGTTAGACCGAGAGAGACCAGACCGGTTTTTAAGCCTCTTGCGACTTAGGACCAGCTCCGCTGCATCGCATCCGGTCCTAAGAAGTCGCAAAAGCTTTAAAAACCAATCTGGTCTCTCTCGGTCGAAGTCGGTCGCAAGAGTGTGAACGGGCCTTTACTCGTCGTCGCTGGAGCTGGTCGCCAGTGGGTCGCAGTCAAAACGAACAGCTTCCAACATCTCTTGATAGCAATCACTCTCGTCGCTGCTGCGATCAATGTCGAACACTTCGACAAGGCGAGCGATGCCGTAAACGTAATCGTCACGTACCCCATGCTCGAAACATGGAAGGTAAACGAGGAAGCTGAGGCTCGAGACGCCAAGAGAGCCAAGTCTGTGAGTGCGTGCAAGGAGACACAGCGCTGGAGGCTGGCTACGTAGCCAACCTCCAGCTCCGCCCGGATCTGCTCCTTCGAGGGGCTTGCATATAAATCGATTTATCCACAAAACTATCGCGCCATTTTCAAAACAAATTTAGCAGGATTATAGGAACATAATATGGGTCCTAGCAGTATAGTTATCTCATATTTTATTTTTGACGTGTCATAACTTCTTTAACACAGGAAAAAACTAATGTCGCCAAAATTTCGCTGAATGAAGTGCTATGGGACTTTGTTTCCAAAAGTGCATGGGGTTCAGCGGGGCTTGGTTTGCCGGCTGGAGCCACTTACACAGCGCTGTATAAGTGGCTCTTTCTTTTGTGTGCATGAAAGCTTAAGAGTGCTTGTTTTGGGGTGCGCTGTTTTCTTGTCAGCTATGAACAACCAACTCGCCCGAACCTCCGTTTTACCAAGTCTATTGTCCTTCTCACACCCAAGCAGCCCCCTCGAAACAGCTCGTTATTTAAGACACTCTGGAAGAATTCACTGCCAAATTTAGTGCGCGTGGCAACTTGAGTGGTACGTGAAGATTGTGCCAGCTGCCAACAAGTCTGTGGAAACCCTGCTGCTGTAAACAGCACGTTCATGTCACATTATTAGGAATTGCTTCGAACATCCGTTATTCTCAGAAACCATCACAAGAAACACGAGAAAGAAAAAAAAATGTAATGGGCATCTTTACCTGGAAGTACAAATGGAGTCGCTTTTTTAACCAATTAAGGAATGCTGCATCGGACGTAACGTAGGAATAATTCACAATATGCTTGTGTTTATGTCATGTACCGGCAGTAAACCGTAATATTCAATAAGGTCGTGTAGGTTACACAGGACGTAACTTCCGTTTAAACGTTCCTTTCTAGCACAAGTGCTATTTCCACGTAAACACTTTTCCATTTAGGTGCAGAAATTGAATGCGTGTTAGGGTTATTTATGTTTCACCTCAAAGTGCTTGTACGTAGGTGAAACATAGGACCTCAATTTTCGTATGTAATGCTTTGTTGCTCTTCAGTCTCCCGTCCCGAGCTGGAGAAGCTCTTAAACAAGATGCTGGACGAGCGGAATGCTGTGCCCAAGAAGGACGAGGTAAGCAGCTTTTGTGGAACAAGCAGTTGGAGACTTTGCAGCATCACTTTGGCAGTGCATCAGTGCAACTTCCCTACACTGCGGTGCCTGGAATGCATCTCCGACTGGTGTGTTTAGCATCCTATACCGCCCATGCATTGAGTGCGGTACCACAGTGGCAACAAATTACCTCATAGGGCCTGCCATGTCATGTTGTCATCTGTGGTGACCCTGGTGGTTGGTTGTAGTTCCAACTGCTGTTGGAAAAAGTGGGAAAACGCAAGCGTCGCTGTCATTGCGGCTAGAGCCACTTTATATGGCAGCTAAAAGCTTTAGCTGCCAGAGAAGCAACATTAGGCCAAAAGTGCTAGACACAACACCTAAAGCGGCAGCGGAGCAACATTAGGCCGTGGGAGGTTGCCAGCGCCTCTAGCGACCGTTTGATCACTCTTCGTTTGAGCATCCTGATTTAAGTTTGGAATACGGACGAGTGATGTTGATGTAGGCACAGATTATTTAACTTACACAGAAAAAGCTCTAGGATAAAGTCCACCCCAAACCTCATGTGTCGGAAAGGCCTCCCACTTGAGTATCGTCGGGGGCAGGAGTAGCAGACGGTGTCTGAATCCTGTCCAAGCGCGTTTGGCGATCCTCAGTGCAGCCCGTTGCTATGGAAACTGAGTCAGCTTGGGTCGTCTCCATAATGACATACTGACCAATTGTGGCGGGAGGTGGCATACAAAAAAGTGTGCCATTACTCTGGTAGCTAGCTGCCATATAGGGTGGCTATAATCGCTGCATCACAGCCCGTGGCTGCATAAGCTGCTGTTCATTGGCTGTCTGCAGAGTGAGATAGAGCATAACAAGCATCTGTTGTCTCCACCCCCACTGTTGTGCCAACGCTAGGATTGCCACCAATGTGATATCACATGGCGGAAATCGGAAGACCAGAAATGAGGATGCAGTATACGCATGATTTGCAGATGCGTGAGGTGCCATACTTAAACTGTGCTGCTAGTAACAAAGTAACCTATTAAGTGGAAATCTGCATTAATTGAAGACTATGTAATGTACTATCGGCTGCAAAAGTTTACGAACCGCGGGAAGAAACTAAGAAATTTATTTGTGGCGTTGTCCTCTAGTTTGGACGCACTTCACAGGTGTGGGTGATTCATCATCCCTCAAGGAATCGTCTTCACTCAAGAGGCAAGCCCAGACTTTAAGGCAGTGTAGTAAATAATTTCGTTTTGTTTCTTTCCACAGTTTGTAAACTTTTACGCCGATAGCACAATGTAGGAGAAAGTTGGAACTATAATTTGGTTTTAAAATTTTGAAAGAACTTTGAAATTTGGAAAGGGCTAATTTGCCTTCCTCATTCCTCACACAAAGAACTTTAAAATTTTGAAAGACCTTATTTTCCTAATTTTACAATTTTTCATCACAGAAAAGGCAAGTCCACACAAAAAAAGATAACATGGAAGACAGGCTTGTCAAACAGCTTAGGGATGACCTGAGGGAACAGAAGGTATGTATGCACACTTTTGTTGTGAAGATGTTAGATTTATTGAGAGTTGCATATCAGTAGTCACATGATGTTGCCATTTGGTGTTTGGTTACAGATATTTTTGTATTTCAGAGCTCTCCTCTTAAAGGGATACTACAACGAAATTTCGGCGCTCATTTTTTGGTCTATATGTGTTCAAAAGAGCAGTATCACATGGAACATACCAATATCTTGTTAAAAAAGTCTCGAAAAGGAATTTTAAAACGAATTAAACGATTAGCAAAGAGCACCTGGTGGATGTCGCTAACGCGTCGTTTGTAATGCTCGTCTAGGAACCTTGACAGCTAGTGACGGAGGTTGTCTCGTCTCCGGCCACGACGAGAGAAGGGGGGAAGGAGGAACTCCCTTCTTCCCGAGAATTCCTTTTGTGTGTCGCAGAAGTCACTATTGTCCCCCCAGAAGATTATAGAAGATTAACCCGTCACTCAAAATTCGTACAAAAGCAGCCGCTTCGGTGGCTGGAACGACAAGGCCATCCTCTCGACGTCAGCCTCGCCGTAGCTTTGCTCGTCTTGAGACGACCTACGTCACGATTGCGTTGGATGTCACGTGCTCTAAGCTGGGCCTTCTCCGAGCGCTTGCCAGAGTGAGCCGTTTATAACGAAAAATACAGCCACCAGGCTCAAAATACAAACGTGCGATTGTCATTTACGGGTATTGTGGATCATATTCAACCTATTTTTGAACACTATGGGAATATTTCAAATTTTGTTGAAGTATCCCTTTAATATGTAATTGTTAGTCTTGTGTGCTGTCTAAAGTGTACTAATTATTATTTAGCTTAAGCCAACTTCGAGCTGTTCAGACTGGACGAGTGGCTGGAAAGTGTAGGTTTACTAGTTTAGTAACCTGTAAAGTAAATGCCATATGCTGTTCTTTTCCTCAGCACAAGAAGTAGCCTGAGTACAGCAGCAGCAGAGCTTTGCGTGTTTACCAGAGGTCACTTCTGAAAAGCACAGGCCAGATTTGCTAATAGCTTCTTATGCTGCTACGACAACTTGGCTAAGAAGTTCATAGGTTATGACGTAGTAAGAAAAGAGAAATCTGTATTCACAAATGCTTTCTTAAATAAGAGGAGGAAAACGACAATCTCTTGCGGAAAAACTACAGCTTCCAGTGTCTTGGAAGTCGTCGCAAGAGGCGACTGTTGCTGTGGTGACGGCGTTCTTGGCAGTTCCAATAGCCGTTTGGAAAGCTCACCATGTTGGAGCACGTGCATTTCAACTACAGCAAGAAACAAGGGCAGGAGGTTATGGCTTGCTTCTCTTGCAACACTTGTGTGTTGACCTGACCGTGCCTATTAAAGTGCTAATACCGCCGCAGGGCAAATGCTCTTGAATGCTGAGCTTCACCGAGGACGAGGTAACTCTTGGTTATGAAGCCTACAAAACTTTTATATATGCTCAAGGGGCAGCCTGCATGCCTCGCTTGCAAAGCGGTGCATAAGTGAACAAATTGTCACATTTTTTTTCTTGGTCTTAAGGATCTGAGAGGGGATGGACAACATAAAAAGGGAGTCACATAAATTGGTGATCCAATATCGCGTACCAGCCATGGCTCCCAAGAAATATGCTCGCTCCGTGTTGATATTTCTACCACTATTACATCTAAATAAAAAGCACCTACAGCATATCCCATCCGCAAGACCGCTTTGCAACGAGAAACTGCGTCTATTTTCAAAAACACATTTCCTGGCCTGCCAGTCATCCTCCACTATGATAATGAAAATAGGCGATTTTCTGAATCCCCAAGCACCCTGGCCGTATGATTGCTTGAGTGCGAGCGGGGGCGCTTGACGGGATTTAAAAAATGGTCTATTCTGAGACGAGGGTACACTGCTAATCACCAAATTGAGGTCACAGCATTCTTACCTGAAGGGTTCACCAAAGAGTTGTTTCCGTGTTCCCTTCCAATGAATCATCATGACGTGCCTCACTAAGCTTTAGGTAAGCTCAATGGAATTGTCGGCTGCGTGCTGCACCAATAGTTTCGCATTCTTTCTCTTTTGCAGCTTGAAGTTGAGATTCACACAAACTGTGTGCAGAAAAATGCCCCCTGCTCGCTCCCTAAACTACAGAGTGTCACAAAAAAAATTTACAGGGCTTTTTACACCGCAAAACAAACTAGGCATCGCCGAACGCTCATTCTCCGCCCGCCCAAAGGTAACGCTAGAGGTCACAACCAGATGCCAAAGTTTCAGCCCGATTCAATAAGTTAATCAAAAGTTATAGGTGATTTTCTGAAAATTTTAATGGGAAAATGAAGCCCATGTTGGCCTGTTTTCGGTTTCTGGTGCCATAGAGCCCCATGTATTCTAAAGCTCCGTCGGCCGCCATTTCTCCATTGAAAGTTTCGGAAAATCACGTAACTTTTGATTAATTTATCGGATCGGGCTGAAACTTTGGAATTTGGTTATGACCTCAAGCACCACCTTTGGGCGGAAAATGAGCGTTCGGCGATGCCTAGTTTTTTTTTTTTTGCTTTAAAAAAGACCGTGTAAATTTTCTTTCGTGACACCCTGTACTTAATCCCTGTACGTAAGTGACGTGTGGTCGTGTTGATCCTAAGAAGTTTGTAGGACACCTCGGGGGCTGTCGCAGGACTCCGTTGCGAGCTATGTAAAACTTACAATAATTTTGTCTCGTGAATATGAATTTTTCTCCAGATTCGTCGTAACATTGTTTCATGAATCCAGCCTCCGTTGCTTAGGGCTTCTTTTATCATACTTAGTTGTTCAAATCTGATAATATGCCATCACATGCTCATATCATTTGTTGTCTATAGCTCTTGCACGCATCTCCTGGTGGCCTGGAGGAGCCGACCGACTTGCCGCCACAAGTTCAAGAGCCTCTCGCGGTACCTGCCCTGGCCAGGGCCGAAGAGAGTGGGGCAAGGGGCTCCTACGCAGATGCCATGGCTGCAGTGACTGAGGCCAGGGCTCAGGCCGAGGCGAGGGCTGTACTCGCCGAGGCTAAGGCAGAGCAGTCTGAGGCCAGGGAAAAGGAAATAGCAACCAAACTGGAGCTAGCTGAGGCCAGGACGGAAGAGATTGAGGCGAGACTGGAGCAGGCCGAGGCCAGGCTGGAGCAGGCCGAGGCCAGGGCAGAGGAGGCCGAGGCCAGGGCAGAGGAGGCCGAGGCCAGGGCAGAGGAGGTGGAGACAAAAGTGCTACAGGGCAGAGCACAGATGACCTTTGTGCTGGACGATCTCCTTCCTGCTTTGAGAGGTATGACTGAATTCCCAAATTTCTGGAAACTTCTTGATCATATCCCATTTTTTATGCCTAAGCTAGAGTAAAATATTCACTCTTGTTTTGATTACCACGTGGACTAGGAGCATAACCTGTTTATACTGCAATGGGAGAGAGACTCGAAATAGTTTCTAGAAGGTTTGATCTTAATCAGCTTTGAAACATACTTTAACATTGTTTGCTTTCATTCGGAGTGTTTGTCCTGTGATTATATATTTCCAACTCCACATCAAGTTCAAGATTTTCTTCCAGCATGTTTTCAAGAACTTCGAAATCTACACACGTTTGCAAGCCCGGTTTCAGGGCGCCGCCGCCTTGCTCGGTTACGGCCTGCGCAAGTTTGTCATAATCCGTTTACGAAGCCTTTCTAAGGCGTCGTAATCAGATTACGGCTGCACCCAAGCGCACCCCAATGAACAAGATGGTGGTGACCTGAGATCAGATTTGCAAACGTGTATTGTAAGCCTGCTGGTTTCGACGGTTCTTAAAGATGCACTAAGGATGTTTCCGAGATTGTCTGTTCTCGGTGCTAAATCCTTCTACAGGCTCTAAGCATCCTAAAAATCCAAAACTTACGGTGATATGGCGCTTATTTCCCTTCCAAAAATGTGATTTAAGATAGGGAGACACCTCTTCCTGAGTAAAACTTTGCGCTGAAGAAGGGCAGTGCATAACCTGGCCGAGGCGACGGCGGGCTGATGAAAGGCGCTTGTCAGTCAATTGCAAGCCACCTCTTTGATGGCAGACAACGCAGCGTTGTCTGCTGGGTCGTTGCCGGTAAGCGCTCCATAGTTATGGGATGGTTGAGGTTCTCTCACCCTCTAGCCTAGCTGTTGAGTTGACAGTTGGCATCGGCATCGAAAACATTGAAGTACTATAACAGAATTATGATTTCTTTGCGAAATTAGAGAACGACAGTTTTAATTTTATGGTGGACACTTCTTTTTCGCAGATGTGCCACAGATTCTTGCAAGCCTTCAGCATCGTGAAGCAGCGGGCCCCATGCTTCCAGGAGTGCCCGGGAATGTGATGGAGAACACGGTATGTAGACATTCTCTGTTTACTATATGTTTGAACGGAGCCGTATATTGGAAGAGTCTGACCAGTGGGTGCGGTAACGAAGGTGCTGGAGAGGAGAAAGTAAAGGAAAGGGAGGAGAGCAGTGATGGTGATTGCTGCGCCAATTGCGCCAAACTGCGCCAAAGGGCTATAACCCTGCTACATCCTGCCACATTTTGCCAAGATATTTGTAATTGTGCCAAGCTTGCGCCAAAGGACCAATTTTGGTTGCCTTTCAAAACCGAAACTAAACTGAGAACCGTAATCGAGCATGCGTGAGCTAGATGGCGCAAGCGGCCTCCCGACATACCGTACCTTGCATCAATCGTCTATCCGGTCTTGCATGGTTTTTCCCGCCGTCTTGCATTTTGCGCTCTCGTCGTCTCAAGGATATAGTCTCGTCTCTCGTGTCTTTTAAAAAAAAAATATTCAGCGATAGACGCAGGCATTTGCGGACGGTCCGACGTCAGTGTGCTGGGAGCCGGACCTGTCGCCATGCTTTGAAAGAAAACCATCAAAACCACGTTTTTGCGCGGCGAGGGTTACTTTGTGAGTTGAAGTGCTCGCGCGACCACAGTCGCCGTGGTCACGCGACGTCGCGTGTTGCCGTCTCCACATCGCTGCAGACATGGGGCTTTCTAAACTGAAGCGCATCGAGATTCCTCTCCTTGTTTAAATCATACACTGCTACAAAAATTCCTATTTAACTCTAAGCTGCTGCGAAGTATTGACTACCTAGGTTTCTCGCGATGGGCTTTCTTTCGAGAGGGACCCCGGTACGTGAAAAATCTGCCACGAAAGAAGGTTGATGAAGAGAAGTGAGCTAAAGCAAAGAAGGCAATGTCTGCACGCTGAACCCGCACAGCGCGCTTGTTTGTCACGAGTTCAGTCGTTGCACACGGCGTTTCAAGAACTTTTTGACCCTGGCTCGCGATGCGATATATTCTTTTTTTCTGTGTGTTTGGCCTGTACCTCGCATGCGGGCCTGGCAAGCACGTGCCGCTGGACTGTTTATTGTCGTGTGCTGGACAATTACATTTTGCATACTATTTTGGGAACCAGTTGGCGACGGAGCAGAGTGGCATGGTTTCGGTTTCGATTGAACATCCGTTGTCTCCACTGGCGCGACGAAGCACGTGGAATTGCAAGCCTGCCGAAGTTGCCCTCACGTGCATGCGAACATGATTGCACGACAGATGCACCAGCTGGGACGCTTGAAATCCATTGTTTAACGGTTACTTAATTTTTATAAAAATCTGGCACGTCAGGAGCCAGTAAAACGATGGCAAGGTTTTTTTTGTGTTTTTTTTTTTTTGGAATTGCTCGGCAGCGCCTACAGCACTGTATACTTGTGGGATGTCTCGGCAGTAAAAACAGAAGCATCGTGTTTCATCACGGCTCGTCACATGAGAACACAACACAACACAAAGTGCCTTTCGTTTGTCCAGCACTTAAAACAAATATTTATATTTCTAAGAATATCTGCTCCAAAAGCCACTTTTTTTTTGCACCGAAACACTGTTTTGGCTGCTCCAAAAGCTACTTTTACTGCTCCAAAACACTGTTTTGGCTGCTCCAAAGGCCACTTTTGCTGCTCCAAAACACTGTTTTGGCTGCTCCAAAAGGTTCTTCAAAATGGCTTAGGCCAATCACATCACTGGGAGAGTGCTGAAGGAGCGAGAGGGGAAGAGTAGCAGCTGAAGCGCGCGTTGGCTGAGCGAGTGCTTTAGCTGCTACTAGCAGCGAACTTCCTCGCGCCGCACGCACCGAGCGACCAAAGATGGCGGTGATAGCTTTCAGCACACCAAGAGGCGCACACTGCCGAAGCTTGGGGAGCGTTGAGCGAATGAAGTAAACACATAGGAGTAGGCCTCGCCCCTCGGCTCATTTCCAGGCAGTGCAGCCTGTACCGCGAGCCACGCACTCCTCTGTTTGCATTTCATTTTTCCCTATAGTACCTAAATAGCCAATGAAAAAAAAACATTGCCAGGCAACTAGTTGCATGATGCATATGGTTGTGATTTGCGCCCCTAGTGGACTTCCTTGAATGTCTCTAGGGGTGCAAGTTCTTGTGCATTGAGGGGTTAGCTGAAAGATGAAGCTGCAGTTGACCATGCTTTAGAGGTGTGTCACAGCCAGTGTGCGTGTAATCTTGAGGGCACACTTGCGTGGCTGTTTGGAATATTTTACGTCGCGGTCTGGCTCTGTTCATGATGCACTTACTTACCACCAGCATGTCAAGGCTGCGCATGCATGCATGGACTTTAATCTAAAAGGATTCAGTTGGATGCGGCCACTATACTTGGTTCTATTTCTATTCTTATATTTGAGGTACACTTCGGTGATATCGTGGTGACCGACGTCCAGATGAAGCGGCTCGACGGAAAGCCGGCATCCCTGTACACACAGGACCTGGCTGTGATGGTGTTCGGGAGCGACGCTCTGGCAGAGTGCTGCCTTTCCGGCTCTGTGACGAAATCATCCCTGCCTAAAGAGCCGGTTCAGGACCCGATAGGTCAGTGAATTGCTGTAAAGAAGACCCTGAATTATCATACAAAATTAATGACAATGTTTAAAAAAATGTCTCGGCTACATCAAATCTGACTTTCTAATGAAATATAATAACAGGTTCAATTTTTGCAGTCTTAATACTTCACAAATTGACCGAAATGCTATGTTCGGAATTCTGCAGCAGCTAAATATCACTCTCTGCATCGAACTGATCATTGGTTCTCACGTATGGTAAAATTATGTGGACACAAAAAATAAGTATACCATATTTTCCGGTGTATAAGTCGCATTTTGTTCCAAATTCCGGTCTTGTACAATGGCGCGACTTGTTTAGAAACGTTTTCATGAAAACTTCTCGTGGCTGCAGCAAGTCCTCCATCGCCCGCCAAGGAGTGCGAAAGGCATGATAGATAATGGAACAGTTTGAAGGCCACCGGGCACCAGTCTGTTCCATTATCTTTTGGGCCTTAATCTATCGTGAAAACACAAAGCCGAATACGGCAACAGCTGCATTTGCCTTTATGTTCTTTAATTGTATCGGTGCCGTGCCAACCTGCCGTGACCGACAGCGCGAAAAAGCTTGCAGCAATGTTGTGGTGTGTTCCAGTGACTTTGCGTGCCGCCGCAGCGATGCTGTGGTGCCTTCCCGCATTTCAGTGCACCGTAAGACAACTTTATGCGTCATTGCTCGCAATAATGCGTTGGTGGCTGCCACTTCGCCGAAAGAGGGTCGCTGCGACGCGCCGCGTTTCAGTGCGCCATACTACAAACGCTCTGGTGGCTCCCACGCGTCGAAGGAGCGTCGCTGCAATGCGCCGTGCCGTGTTCCAGTGCGCCACATGACAACGTTAGAGACACCACTTGCAACAACGGTGTGGTGGCTCCCACATGTGCCACACGGCAACTTCACACACTGCCGCTCGCAACAACGCTGTATTGGCTCCCACATATGCCACACGGCAACTTTACTTGCTGCTGCTCACAACGGTGATGTGGTGGCTCCCACATGCGTCTCCTTCCAGTGTGCCGCACGGCAACTTTACACGCTGCTGCTTAGGACGACGCTCTGGTGGCTCCTACATGCACCGAAAGCGCTTTGCTGTAACTCGCCATGTTCCAGTACGTCACATGGCAACTTTATGCGCCGCCGCTCGCAACAGTGCTGTGGTGGCCCCACACGCGGCGAAGGAGCGTCGCTGCGACGTGCCGCTGTGATCTCGGATAAAAGCGCGACTTTATGCCAACTTTTTCGTGAAGATGTTTCAATATTGGAGGTGAAGCTTATAGTCTGGAAAATACATTACTCAGTGAATCTGAAACTGGATATAAGATGACACTGTTGTATAGTTATAGTTCCTAAATTTTGTGTTTCTTTTTCTTTTCAGATCACGTGATTGCCAAATTTCCGGGCGAATCATCAAAGACTGTCAAAGAGTACCTGAGGAGGAAGTGCAGCAACACCTCATACTTGCGAAAGAAGAATATAAATTAACAAACAAGATTAGCTTTCTTTCATTTATTTATTTTCACAAGTTCAGAGATTTTAGTTTATAATGATTTTAGAAGCTTTTAAATTATTTTAGAATTTTCCATGTTTAAGGCAGCGGCCCCACGACGCAAGCTTTAATGTTGGCTTTTTAGGTTTTATTTTTTGGGGGGTACTTAAGAAATAGCTACAGAGCTGATGTTTTGCAGCTATGTTTCTAATATCGGTGGGTAAATTACAGCAACATGTTATTGTGATAACTAGCTTATGTGATCAGAAAATTGGAAATTTAGAAATTGCTTACCGCTTCCAAGATTTCTCCTTTAATATTAAAGCTTGGGTTACCATTTTTCCGCTCGCATTGTCACGGCTACAGGCTTTGCTCTATGGAGCCCGTTTCTGAAATTTTAATTAATAGGTCAATCAAGTTTGCATGGTTGCAATTTACCCACCAATATTAGAAAAATGCCTGCAAAACGACACCTCTGTAGATATTTTCCAAGTATCGTAAAAATATAAAATTTTAATCAACAACAGTAAAGATGGTGGCCGTGATACTGCCGGCTGAAAGGGCAACTCCTCTTTATTTTTGTTTTTGAAAAAAATGATGCAGTCCTCTTCAGTATCATTTCGGAAGGGGACCACACGTCAAATCTTGCAATAAAGTTCTATGTAAATGTTTTTTAAACGGTCCGGCAAACATTGCAACTTGCCATATTGCCGAAATCTGCTGAATCGAGCGGGCAAATTGAGGCGCAACCAACAGTGCAGTCAAGGCTACTGCGTGGGCATAGCAAACATTGAGCTAAGCATCATCACCATTTTGCTTGTTTTTACTTCTCCGGGCAAGCACAACAGGTGATGTCAGTAACGTTTCTTCTCCGTGCACCTGCGCAGCATACTTCTTGAGAGCTGCCAGGCCTCCCCACCGTTACCTCCTGATGTCTCCTGCTTCACAACCGCCGTTGTCGTCTCACCGTTTGTGATTATTGTCCCTCGGAGTTTCGTACACACACCGGACACCATGTGCGCAGACTTATGCCGCAGTTATGCAGACGTCGTCGAATGTCTTAGACAGCAAAACATGGTGAAGAGTGCGCCTGGCACACTGCTGACCCAATCCCTCCCGTTATTGCGTAAAGGATCACGTGACATCTCATACCTCGTGATAGCCATATTCTTGGCGGCTCGAAGACAGTGTTGCTGGAGGGAGCCAAAGTTTCAGTTTCGATTTCTGCTCGTGTCTAATATTAGATTTAAAAATGTACCTCTTTTTTTCGCGGAGCTGATGAAGTAGTGCCCTTTACAAGGGTTTTTTAATGCGAAATCACTCATTATCCCGAAATCTTTGGAATTGAGCGCAGTTGCCCTTTAATGCTGTTTTCAAACAAGTCTGATATTTTTATGCTTTGTGTGATATTTGTAACTATTTGAAGTGTTTTTTTTTATACAAGTGCAATATTTATCTATTGAAAAACGTGTAAACAAGTCTGATCTTTTAAACCCTTGCGATATTTTTATGCTTTGTGTGATATTTGTAACTAACGAAGTGTTTTTTTTACACAAGTGCAATATTTATCTCTTGAAAAACATGTTTTATCTTTGAGTTATAAAAGGCAGTGTGACATTAGAGGGAAGGTTAATCCCCAAGGTGGTGCAGAGGTATGAAAATATAACTGGACCTCCACCTCAAAGGAACATAACTCACGTGCTCTGGGCGACTGGCGTTCGTCTAAAACCAGTCACCTGTGACTTTGTCTATTTTTTTTGGCAACTGGCTGATTGGGCTTTATTGGAAAATGTGCATTTGTAATGATTTTATTTGATTGTTTTTATTTTAATAAAAGTTCCTACTGCAGTTAATCTGTATTTAATTTGTGCCCTTATTCCATGTCATTCTCTGTAACATAATATGAATTTTTTTAGTTACAGGGAACTGGAATTTCAAATTATATTTTATGAAGACCCTGATATATAATTAGTCATGAATAAATTATTGAAATGCTTTAAAAGCCCTACTGGTACCCCAGAATATACCTGGGAGGCTTACTTCAAGGAGCCTAAAATGCTGCTTAATAGCATACTAATAGGCTGCATTAAAGCATCCTAAAGGCCGCTTGAAAGTATACTATTAACCCGCTTGAAAGTATACTAATAGTCCGCTTGAGAGCATACTAAAATGCTGGCTAGAAGTATCCTAAAAGTGCCATTAAAGTAGAAGCCAACCGAATCTTGAAGCAGACTTCAAGTGTCTTAATAGTATGGGGAAATGTTACTTGAAAGTATGTTAAAAGCTTACTAAAAGCCGGCCAATTTAGAGCAACAAGCATACTTTTGGAAGTACAAATAAAGTATACTTTAAGAGCCCCGGTTTTTCGCTAAGGGATGGTAGAGCTTAGCGCGCTGTGCGAATGCGAGTAAACGAATGTGTTGACTCTACTTCACCCAACTATCTCGTCAAAAATGATCTGTTGACATTTCACAAGTCCCATTCACGTGATTTTCCCTCGCGCAAAAAATGAGCATTTATCCGAACGCAGCACCTCCAAATACTAACACATTTTTTCTCTTAAATGAGACTTAATAGTTTCTAGAAGACACGCTTTCAACACCGAAATCTCGCAGTCAAAATAAATGGTCACTTCAATCGCTAAAACTGAGTTACTGAGAACAAGTCGAGCCTCGTCTCTGCGTCTCCCCGTAGCCAACCTTTCTTGGTAGTACACTGTTGAACTCAAAATCCGCAACGACACACTTGATGCACGGCACGTTCCACTTGAAAAGCACATTCATGGGCAGCATCTAGACGCCTTCATACGATCGTCGTCGCTGTTTCAGATAACATTCCAGATGAACAACGAAGAACGAACCGCGCCTGGAACGTCATCCATGGCAACACCCTGCTAATACAAAACAAACGCGAAATAATAAAAAAAAAAGCCCCCGAGAAAAGTAAAGAGAGAGAGAGAGACAGAACGTGTTGGCTTTTACGTAGGGCTCCGTGTTTTCGGATAAATCCGAAAAACTCCGAAAAACACCCCCTAGTAAAATGTTTTGCCAATTCGGATTTATCCGATAAACTCCGAATTTTTATGTGCCGATGCCACCCCCCACCCCCCCCCCCCCCCCCCCCGAACAAAAAAAAAAGTATATATATCTATATATATTTTTTTTTACAATTTGAGCAAAGCAGGATCAATGGTCCTCGGAAAATGACACAATAATTTTTTTTCAAGCATCGGACCGTTGTCGAAAGGGGGTCTTACCGCTTGCCTCGTCAAGGTTGGTTCAGGGAAACAGGTCATCGTACCATTCGTGTCACGACAAAGGCCACTCTTTTGGCTTCCAGTTTGGGCCATGGTATTTGGGATTTCGGGAAAGGAGAGGGTATGTTTCTGGGGGTAACAGGAAAAGCTATGGACCATAGAGATTGTATAAAATAGGAAAGAGGAGGTGTTGAACCTTCTCTATTACATCCATAACCACTCCACCTCG